TAGCAGTATTGGCAGCAATCGAATGAATTTAATAAGAAATCTAAGTGAAATGGTTAATCTATTATTGAAATTACCAGTAAACTTATCATCAATCTCAATATGAAAAACCTAAAATAATGTAAAAATTTCAAAATAAAAATAAAAAAAACTAACCCTCGGAGGTTGATTTTCCATTTCTGAATGATTGTGAGGGATTTTTGACTGTGAATGGTTGTGAGGGATTTCGCCGGCGATGGGGACGGAAATCTTCGGAGATGGGGACGGATTTCACCGTAGAGAGTGAGAGATGGAGATGGGACTGAGTGTTGTGTTTTTGGGTTTGAGGTTATGAGTTGTGATTACTGTGGACGGTTCATTTTCCGATTTATTAAGAAAATATTCGTGTTTGGAATTTGAAAAAAAAAATACGCGTTAATACGAATGGCGCTATGTAAATCGCGTTGCGAAAGTCAGAATCGCGTTGCGAAAGTCAGTATCTCGTTGCGATTTTGTATTATCGCATTGCGATAGTAAGTATCGCATTGCGATTTTCCCAATTCGCGTTGCGATTTACTTATTCGCATTGCGATTTTCCCAATTCGCGTTGCGATTTACTTATTCGCATTGCGAATTGGGAAAATCGCAACGATACTGTAGACCATCGCAACGCGATTTTCAACTATCGCATTACAAAAATGCAACGCGAATTTGATATAATGGAGATCGCGTTGCGAATTAGCGATCGCATTGCGATTTTGTTGGTCATTTTGGCAAATCCGGAAAAAGTTGGTTAAAATCGTATATTATATGGGATTTTTGGTCACTGAGGTTATTTTCTCTTTTCTAAATACTTGTGTGTTAATTTGGAAAGTCAAAATCAAATATTATAATTTCAACATCAAGATTCAAAGTTTTTATTTACTTAGGTATGCTTCCATATTTAGTTTGTTGTTATTGATAATTTAACATAAACCTTAAATTTGAATTTTATATTATATTTTATTTTTAATCTAACAAGTGATATCAATATCATGTCATGTTAAATAATTAAAAGTTAATTAATTTTTTTACTATTTTCGGATTGGATTGCTCCTAAATTTTTTTAAAGATTCTATATTTTTTATTTTGAAATTTAAGATTTTGAAATTTTATAAATTTAGATTTTAAAGATTATTATAATCATAATTATAATCTTATTAGGTAGTTCGATTATTGATTGTTATCAATTCTAGTGGTAATTGATGGTTCATCAATGTCATAATGAAATAGTTGTTTCTCAAACACTTCAAAGGTTGTACCTCCAATCTCCTCTGCAAACTACACTTACCTTATTGCTCGCTGCTTGTCAAAACCTCTGAAAAGACAGTCTCTAGAGGAACTTCTCCGCTAAGCAAAGGCTTTAGAGTTCAACACATCTGACAAGCCAAAGGCCCTTAACAATACCTCATACAAGTCTACAAGATTTATCATGATCAAATTACTGTCCTAACATAAACATTAAAAATCAATATATAAATCTCATTGCGAGATTAAAAAAGCAATTGGGGATTCATTCTCTCTTGGACATGCATCATTCTTCATCTTCAATTTACTATTCTTCATTAAACAACGGGTTAAAACTCTTAGTCCAAATCAGAAGAAGTGAACTATCTATCACATAATCCAAATTTTACTATATATTATATGATACATAGGTAATTTGTTAAAATTTTATTGGATTGATATAACATATATTTAAGAATTGCGAAATACTATCAAACCTTAAATTCTAAAATTTATTTATTTGAATTATTTTAAGATTTATTTAAAGAGAAAATCGCCTCAGTGACCAAAAATGCCTTATAATATACGATTTTAACCAACTTTTTCTGGATTTGCCAAAATGACCAACAAAATCGCAATGCGATCGCTAATTCGCAACGCGATCTCCATTATCGCAAATTCGCGTTGCATTTCGCGTTGCGATAGTTGGAAATCGCATTGCGATGGTCTACAGTGTCGTTGCGATTTTCCCAATTCGCAATGCGAATAAGTAAATCGCAACGCGAATTGGGAAAATCGCAATGCGATACTGACTATCGCAATGCGATACTTACTATCGCAATGCGATAATACAAAATCGCAACGAGATACTGACTTTCACAACGCGATTCTGACTTTCGCAACGTGATTTACATAGCGCCATTCGTATTAACGCGTATTTTTTTTTTCAAATTCCAAACACGAATTTTTTCTTAATAAATCGGAAACTGAACCGTCCACAGTAATCGCAACTCATAACCTCAAACCCAAAATCACAACACTCAGTCTCATCTCCATCTCTCACTCTCTACGGCGAAATCCGTCCCCATCTCCAAAGATTTCCGTCCCCATCGCCGGCGAAATCCCTCACAACCATTCACAGTCAAAAATCCCTCACAATCATTCAGAAATGGAAAATCAACCTCCGAGGGTTAGTTTTGTTTTATTTTTATTTTGAAATTTTTGCATTATTTTAGGTTTTTCATATTGAGATTGATGATAAGTTTACTGGTAATTTCAATAATAAATTAACCATTTCACTTAGATTTCTTATTAAATTCATTCGATTGCTGTAAATACTGCTAAACTGTTTAGCCTGTGAAGTTAGTATTTGTCTTTGTTTTGTCTTTTGGTTGAAGTAATGCAGAAGAAGAATAGTTTCGAGAATGAAAATCGCAACGCGGAAATAACTATCGCAACGAGAGAATCGCAACGCGAAATAAAAATCGCAACGCGAAACCAAAATCGCATTGCGATTTTCATTTCGCGTTGCGATTCTCTCGTTGCGATTTTCATTTTGCGTTGCGATTCTCTCGTTGCGATAGTCATTTCGCGTTGCGATTCTCTCGTTGCGATAGTCATTTCCGCGTTGCGATTCTCATTATCTCGTTGCGATTTTCATTTCAACCAAAAGACAAACAGTGTTGCAAATTTAGTTTCAAGAATAAACTACTATTTTGTTTATTGTTTTGGTATATCTTGACAGTGTGTTTTTGGTATATCTAACTTGGTATGTTTATAGTGGCTTCATTGACATTAAGGAATAAAGTTAGCCTAGCCACTACAATTGCTTCGAAGCTTTCACTAAGAAAATTGTTTGAGGAAACCTGCTTCGGGGCCATGGCTGAGAGTACAGCATCCGGGTGGAGATGCTAATTTGACCCTTTGTGCTTCAGACCACGACTAGAGATCTACCCGACAGTATACACGTGGTGAGGAAGAGATATGGTTTCATTTTCCACCGACATATACTTGTTTTGGGCGGAAGGAGTTCTGCCTAATCACTGGTCTACGATTCGGACACGATGATGTAGGCCTGTACACTCGTCATATCACCCACCCATCATGTTTATCCAGGGTTTTTCCTGATGAGTCAATAGAGAAGCCGAACTTACACGTCGACGACATGAAGAAATTGTTTAATAAGAAATGGTTTTACTCGATGAATGACGTCGATGTTGTCCGAGTATGCCTTCTACTACTTTTGTATGCCAGCTTTTTAGGCAGAGAGCCAGACACCTATTCCTCAGGAACTAATATTATTGGTAGAGGACCTAAATGCATGGAATCTGTTTCCGTGGGGATTGTATATATGGAAAGCTACTTGGACTAAGTTTTCGTCTGCCTTGATGACCGCAAAAGTTGCGGGGCGATGGGTCGAAATACACTTTGTCAGGCTTTGTTTGGGCCTTTAAGGTAAGAATTTCTATATAATGTTTTCAAAATTATAATTATTTAACAATTACTAATGTTTGTTATTATTGTTTGTAGATGTGGATATCGAGGCCTTTCCCGCCATGAAGACATATGCAATAAAACTTCAAATGATATTCCCAGGGCTATTTCCTGGAAGAGGAACGTCTGTTGGATTGGGAAGACTTAATACCATATGCGACAATAAATAATGTAAGTTAACACAAATACTATCATATATAAACAAGTTATTATAGTAGACGTTTTAACTTTGTTTGAGTTTTTATATTTAGGAGGCCAACATTCCATTAATTAGACTGACACCCACGGAGGTTGAGCTTGCCTGATTGGTGGCAAGCTAGTCAGCGTTTTCTGATGGCACGAATGAGAGCAGCCTCCACTTCCTCCACTTCGGAGCCATCACCTCACCTAGAGCCATCACCTGATCGACCCGACTATACACCTCTACAACGAGAGCCATCACCTATCCCGTCACATCATCGGCCTCTTCCCACCATCACCTCATGATAGGCGACCGGAAAAGATGCCACGACTTCTATCTCCATGTTCTCCACCTCCACGGGATGAGTCAAAGGAGTTACGTGATGAGTCAATGCCTTGCGTGAGGAGATCGGTACTCTACTCGATAACGATGGTGCATGGCGTGTGGAGGTGTCTACTTTACGTGGTGAGGTGCACTCTACGTGAGATGGTAGTATCGTTGCAGAATGAGGTTTATACTCTACGCAACGAGGTAAGTTTAAGATTTTCCATATTTTAACTTGATGATAAATTTACTCGTAATTTCACTTAAATTAACCATTTCACTTAGATTGCTTAGTAAATTTATTCGGTTGCTGTCAATACTGCTAAACTGTTTATTAACACTGTGAAGTTAGTATTGTCTTTTTGTTTTGTCTTTTGGTTGAAGTAAATTTATTTGGTTGCTGCCAATTAAACTGTGTATTCTTTAACACTGTGAAGTTAGTATTTGTCTTTGTTTTGTCTTTTGGTTGAAAGTTTGAAATATTTGTCTTGTTTTCACTGTTTAAATATCATGTCTGTTTATTTACTGATATTTGTATTAATTATTTAGCGGACCGATAAGGTGGATGCTTTACGTCGGTTTTTCTTGCACGACAGAGTTCACGCATCAACGGCGTGCACATGCTATTAAGTCTCCGTATACCCCAATAGTGCGAAGACACCGCAAGAAGAAGCCCGACTCGCCTGTCATCCCTCAAGAGTCCACCTTATCGTTGAAGGCCCCTATCATTCCTCGAGAGTCCCCTCCCACCGTTCAAGAGGCCACTGTCATCCCTCAAGAGTCCACTCCTATCGTTGAAGAGGCCCCTATCATTCCTCGAGAGTCCCCTCCCACCGTTCAAGAGGCCACTGTCATCGTTGAAGAGGTCCCTCCCACAATTCAAGAGCCCGATTCACATGGCGTCATATGTAGGATTCTTGAGAAACCCTCTGACGTGCCGGACATGAAGGATTCAAGTTGGCTCTCGTATGAGTTACCGGCCAGTACCATACCGGTATCTGAAGTGGAGAGGAAACAACTACCGGACACAATTTTGGATAACACCCTTTGGGCTAAGACCGCAGTTGACTTTATCTACATGACGAAGCCATGGGTGTTTCACTGACATATGCAAGCTCAATGATGATATCTATTTGTTGCTTGATCAGTCTTGGTGGGGCGTATTATAGGGGTCGAAGACAATGGCTATTTCGATGGAGGGTAAGTCTTATATTTTTCTTATATTTTAATTTGATTATTTTTTTGTAAATTTATATAAGTTCTATATAGTCTTTTTTGTAAAACATCATATCGATGCGTGGGTGTCACGTCTTCTAATAATTAGGAAACTTAAGGAAAATAAAAAAAATACATGATATACAATTATGCCCGACGTCTTTTAACGTCGTTCACTTGAAGAATCAACGAGATGAATCATTTGCTTTGGGCAATGGACAAGCTAAACTTTCCTGCATGGTGGGGGTCGATAAGTTAGTGTTTTATTTTAGAATGAGTTTAAAGGTATTCATAAATAAGTGCGCAAATGAATGCTTAATTATACTTATGATTGCAGGTGTTATCCCTGTTTTGGAATGTAACCATTGGCTTCTCGTCGAGCTTCAGATCCATCCCTTAAGGCAATATATGACAGCATGATAAATTACATCATTGGCTGATTTAAGATATATTAAGGGATGGAGCTCTTATTTGGCTAAATTCTGGATGCGATAAATTATGGACTCGTTCTGGGAACAAGAAGCCAAAGAAGCTCAATATACAGTTAACAGACTAGACCGCACCACAACAAACGAAAGGACCCAGAGGGATTGTGGTCCTCTCGTATGCTTGGCGTTGGACCGTTTGATCACAGGAAGTATAAAGTATCTACCTCCCACCGATATAGATAGAGCTGCAGTAGGCTTGTGGTTTCGACATTATATGGCTATATCGATATATACAAGACGCTGCCTACCTGCATCCGCGTTATAAAAATGTCCATAAACAATTGGTATGTTTATAGGCTTGTGGTTGAAAATGTTTGGTTAAGTACCTAGAATTCAATAATTTATTGTTTGTAGGTTTTAGATGTGTAGAAAGTGTTGTTTGAGCAAATGTTTGGTTTATGCAGGTTAATCTCAGAAGTGAGCTGCGTGAAAATGATGTATGGCTGCAAAAGTTGATTCATAGTAAAGTGTTATTTTCTCTAATAATTATTGCTTATTTTTTGATTGTTTAATTGATTGTAAAAGGTGATTTGTAAAAGTTGATTTGTTTATTGATGTTAACATAATTCTTATTTGTGCTTGTTTAATTGATTGAAATGTAATGGTTGATTTTGTTGATTTCAATCTGCATTATGTTGAAGGCAAAAAGTACTATCGCAATGCGAAATGAAATCGCAACGAGAAATCGCAACGCGAAATGAAATCGCAACGAGAGAATCGCAACGCGAAATTAAATTCGCGTCGCGATTTTCATTTCGCGAAATTAAATTCGCGTCGCGATTTTCATTTCGCATTGCGATTCCCTCGTTGCGATTTCATTTCGCATTGCGAAATTAGCGTTGCGATTTTCATTTCGCATTGCGATTCTCTCGTTGCGATTTTCATTTCGTATTGCGATAGTAATTTCCGCGTTGCGATAGACATTAAGATGATTGCCTATTAAGTGATAACAACTGAACAGATCATAGCAATTTTCAAACTCAAGTTACTAATACATGCCTAACTGAAAATGTTAAAAGTTCACACATAAAATCTACATAATACAACGTTTGCATTTAAAAATCACCTAAGTTAACAGTCCCAAAAGGTGAAGCCAGTTGTGATTGGGATTTTAAAGATGATTGCGATTTTGATTGCCTTTTTCTTGACACCATATGAGCTTTGGATTTTGATGATGATCCATATTTTGGTAGAGGAAAAGATGATTGTGATGGCACTGGTGATCCACATGTCACCTTGTATGACCACTTCCTTGCACCGACTACATGCCAATCTCTTCTTCTCTTCACCCTTAGACGGTATACGATCGTGACTTTTTGGTCGGCCAGGTAGCCTTCTGTCCATGGCTGGTGGCAAAAATGTTTGTAAGTCATTTGGTATATCCCACTCAGAAGGATGTGGAATAGGGTAGACAATCTCGGCATAAGTCTGTCGATATATTTCTGTAGTGTAGCAATCCATAGCGTATGTGCTTGAATCATCTTGGTTTAGATGAAGAGCAACTTTTATAATATGGCCACACGGATAACCAGATGTTTGCCATTTCATACAACTACACGTCCTTGCATTTAGATCGACAAGCCCATTTAAGTTATTATCCAGTACTTCAAACAAAGTGTTTGAACATGGTTCAACTCTCCATGACGTTGACTTCACAACACGTTTCGTTATCTTTTTTCAGTCCATGGTGTAACACGATGTTCCAAGTTCCTGTAAATTTAAATAAATAATACTTAGTAAAATATATGATAAGTTACGAATTCAAAGAAATAATACCTGCATGGTTCTTTTCTTGTAGTACACGTGAATGAGGCTCGAAAAAACTCCATTAACATAGTAATGGGTAATTTCCGGGAATGACGACTTAGAGAGTTGATTGATTCTGCACTATTAGACGTCATGAAACCATATCTGCTCCAAGTTGATGTACTCTTGACCATCTTTCAAACCCGACATCTTCTAGTGTTTGAGCACACTGAGGCAAAACACGTCTTAAACAGTTTATATGCTTATGAAATCCACTTCCCGATAAGCTTTTACAGCCTTCCAGTATGTCCATTGTGCTTTTTTATACCAGCAGACCTTGATTTTAGATTTCTATCCAAATGAACACCAAAGTCCATGAAAAGCATCTGGGAAACACCTTCTAACAGCGTTGTCAATTGAGTTTGCCCTATCGGATATGATTGTCATTGCTAATAGGACCTATGCAATCCCTAAGATGCCCCAAACCATGTCCATGAATCAGAGGTTCAGATTGCCAACCCCGTAAGCTATTGGCAATATCCCATTGTTAGCATCCATGGCTACTGCTAATAAGTTTACTCCAAGGTATCGACCTTTCAAATATGCTCCGTCAACTATAATAACTGGGTGCATGCAAGTAATAAACGAACGAATCTACAAAATAATATACACAAGAAATATAATCATTTAAATATGAAATGCATGTAACTAACAGAAATGAGTCAACAGAATATATTGATTTACTAACCGCAGCACCAATGGCGATAAACAGCAACTCAAAGCATCCATCTCTATCTGTTTTGATATGAGTTACCGACCCAGGATTTTTCAGCTTTAAATTGTGACAATAAGCCGGCAGTTGGGCAAACGATGCTTCTGGCAACCCCCTCAACAATTCCAAGGCATAACATTTGGCTCTCCAAGCTTGAGAATATGATATACTAATCTTGAACCGAGCATTCATGTCAGTCATAATTTCATGTCCCCGATATACCATGTCATTCAAAAACATTAACTCAGCCAGAAAACCACCCAACACCTTTTTGTTGACTGTCTATGGTTAGGAAAAACTTGGGTTCTTGAACATGTATGTTTATCAATAAAAGTCCTAACTTGAAACATTTCGCAATCTTTATCCTCTTTGCAATCATACGCCACGTACAGTTTTTGTCAATCATACACCTTGTTTCGAAACGATCTTTGCTTGATTTGTTAACTTTTAGTTGATAGCCATCTTCCACACATTTCGTATACAAAGCTATCTTCAAGTCTTCCTTTGTATCAAACAATCATCTTTCTTGATACGAATAACTTTTGTGTAACAATCAACTGCTTTCTTTACCAACTCTTCTTCCGGTATCTGAAGTAATTCTGGCATATTCCAGTTATACTCCCGTGGCATTTTCTTTTCTTCGGGGACTTTTTCTTCTTCTTTTTCTTCTTCAGGATTATATGAATTACAGAATGGATATTCAACATGTTCATTCACAGCCTCCACTTCTTCCTCATTATCATCAACAACATCTTCCTCGGCAACGGTTGTTTCATCATCAAAATTCGGGTATTGACCAATATCAAAATCATTACACGCAGGGTCTGTTTCTTCTTCTGAAACATCATCAAAATCCGAGTATTGACCAATATCAAAGTCCGGGTATTGACCAAGATCAAATTTCGAATACTGACTAGTACTCACAATTTTTTCTCTTGGCTCATCATCGTCTAATTGGTCAATACGAAAACCGGAATTTGGTGTTGAAAGTTGATTGGGATTTGGATTAGAGAAAGGTGTAGGTTTTGAGAAAAACTTAGTTGATTACTACCCGCTACTGACCCAATACTACTTCTAGGTTCAAACATACAATGTAACATCATCACTTGAAACACTAATGAAAGCAATGAATCATTCAACATATTCATTGTCGGTTAACAAATAAACTTTACCATTCCTCTGATAAGATAGCCTAAATCCACTTAGGGGCTCTAAATTCAATTTCTTTGAAACACGTAACATTAGAGTTTCATAAGTTAACTTTTTTAATGACAGTTTTAGTTGAAGATTCATGGGTAAAGGCATATATTGTAAAACACCATGAACATTCTCCCATGACCCTCCAAAACACAAATCTATCCAAACATGATCAACATTAGATGATTTCATGGTTGTAAATTAATTTACTAAACAAACGAGCTGCGAAACTAAGACCTGTTGCCGGATGGGGAAGGATGTAGGAACGGATATAGGAACGGATGTCGCCGGAGAGAGTGATAGATGGAGATGGAATGAGTTACGATTTAGGGATTTAGGTTATGAGTT